ATGAAATGACTACATTGCATTTGAAAAGTGGTCCTGTTTCTTAAGAATGATTTAATTGTACGAATGGTGGTATAGTTTGGATCCATATTGAGTGCAGTTGGCAGCCTGTGGGGGTGGGAGTCATGCACGTGCCATCCTCTCTCTCTCGTCTCCATCGTGGGTCGAGTAAATCCTCCACAGGCAAAAAGGGAAAAGACCGCTGCATTTTTTATAACCGCAGCTCCAGTATTCCCCACAAACTGCTCATCACACAGAGAACATGCGCTCTTGTCCTGACATCCAACAGAAACCAGGCCAATCGTTTCTGCCGTATTTCTGTTCAATAATCACTCTTTTATCATAAGGGGAGAGAACGCAGGAGGTTCATGTCGCTGTTTAATCCTGTTCCAGTCCTGGTCTAATAAGGTTTATTTCTTTGGTCTCAGTATTTTGCCAATTCTGTTGCAGCATTTGTGTGTGTATGATCTTAAAAATCGAAAAGGGACTAAATATTTGGCCAATGTTGATATTAACAGGTGATGTAATGCAGCAGGTGCCATTTTCAATTTATTATTTGAAGGATGTGTATTTCATAACCTGAATGTGGCTGTAGTCATGTGCTCCTTTTTAAAAGTGTCTCCCGTCACAGATACAGCATCAATAACAATGTGTTTTTTTCTGTGGAATCTTTTTAATGAGTAAAGTTGATCTAATTAGTTAAGTAAGTTTTAAAAAAACATGTACTGGTTGCAACTGCTGCATATAGTCCACAAACTAACGAATAAGAAGCACTTAAATACAGTTATTTACAGTCTCATTCACATGGCAACCTGTGGCTAAAAGCCGTAATTCTGAGTAATCTCATTATAGCTGCAGAGTTTGCTCTGTTGACCTCCTGACATCATATTGAGGAGGGGTGCATTAGAGTTACGTCATCCTGTCCGCCTCTGGGCCTGATCTTCCAGATGATTTTGGGTGTGGAGGTACTTACCAGTACTCAGACACAGACCTCGGCCCCTCCTCACCACGTTATGGCGCAGACCCGCGCCTCAAAACGCTTGATTGACATGAAGTACTCCCTCACACACTTTAGTTGCATTGAAATAAAAAACATGATTTGTATAAACGTAAGGCTAGAAGGTACATCTTATGAGTTTCTCCTTGTCGACGCAGGAGGGTCTGTTGGGCAGTTAGTGTCCAACTAGAACAGTGTTTTTCAACCTTTTTTGAGCCAAGGCACACTTTTTCACTGAAAAAAATCTTGCGGCACACCTCCAGGAGAAAATGTAAAAATGTATACAGTACTAATGTAAAAATATATACTGTACATACTCTGTGTGATATATAAAGTATATCTTATCTTATCTTATAATGTATACAGTATACTCTGTAGCCTATATTCACAATATACAGTTATTCTCATCAAAATGCTTAAGTCCAGGCCTTGACATTAAGCTTTATTTAATATTTCTCGATACAATTAACAAGAGTTTGGGAATAAAGTGGCACTAACTGTGTGGAAAAAAATAAAAGAAAAATAAAAGAAAATCCACTCTCTGCCCATAGTCAAATAATAACTCACACAAAGAACATGCATTGTTAGTGCATGGGAAAAATTTAGGTATCCGAGCTTTAAATTCAGGAGTTTTGGATGAGGGACACGGGAGGTCCTGAACGCGAGTCCATGGTTCTGTCCGGTCCGCATGTCTGTGGTTCTGTCCACTCGACTATGGTCTGCGCTCGGTACCCAGTTCAGAAGTGCGTTCACGAGAGCTGTTGTACAAAAATGGTACATTTCATAGTTAAACCACTACAACGCGGCCACAGCTGCCCCGGGGCAGAGCGGAGGATGTTAATCCTGTTCAGAAACGGCATAATTCATTTTCAAAAACGTCTCTATCACTTTCACTTCTCACTCGCCACAAAGCTCTTGTCTCGCTCCCTCCCACATTTGTTGGTCGCATCCAATTTTACCTTTCTCGCCACAATGCTGACCTGAAACTGAAAAATTGGATGCGACCACTGGCTGTCAGTGGTCGCATCCAATTTTTCAGTTTCAAAGTACTTAGCTATCTGCTGCCATCTACTGATTTGAAAAAGTATTACATGGTTACTCCACAGTTCAAAACAAGTCACCGCTCGTCAACAGCGAATGCAGTTATTTTTAGACAAAGTAGACGAATTTCTCACGGCACACCAGACAATATCATACGGCACACTAGTGTGCCGCGGCACAGTGGTTGAAAAACACTGAACTAGAAGGACTGTGGTGATGATCCAGGACACTTTAACATTCTACAACATGTATGGAAATTGTTCAACATGTGTTCTATATTCTTTATGTGTTTTAACTGTTGATTCTCTGATCTGTGTTGGTGATTTCAATGGTTTTGTTAAGTCCTCTGAGATTACTTCTGTTGTGATTTAGGGCTATACAAGAATAAATTGTATACATAGTTCCCACATGACGTCACTACATACGGGGATTTGCCGACCCGGCGCCATTTGTCTTGGCATTCTGTGGGCAAAACAATAGAAAAAGAAGCTGAAACGTGTTAATGTCGTGATAAAGTTGAAAATGGTCATCTCCTGCTGGGTCAATGGATGTTCAAATCGTGCCGGAGGTTCCGTTAAACTTGGATTTTACAGTATACCCATCATTAGACTTCATGAATGTGAGAAGACTAAGCTTTTGTCAGAACAACCACGGAGGTTATGGCTTGCGAAGATAAACAGGCAAGAAACTCCCTCAAAACACGCAAGAATATGCTCGGAGCACTTTGTGTCAGGTGCGTATCGTATCTTATAATGCAGGGGTGGCCAACCAGTCAGAGACTAAGAGCCAATTTTTTTTACTGTGTTACAGCAAAGAGCCACATCATACAAATGTGCACTACATAAACATCACCCCAACCCTTACACACGCACGCACACGCGCACGTACTGTACGCACACGAGCAGACACGCGCACACACATGCAATCTGTCTGTGCAGAGAGAGGTGTGCTCTGCTCAGACAGATTTATTGTAAATGTCATCAACATGATAATGACAGAAATTGACTCGTACAGTACTAAAGGGCTGGACTCGACTCTCCCTGGTTTGCGGGCGCTTCCACCGCTCGCTTCAACCGCTCCCCGGTACTTTTTATTAATGGTTTGGCCCTGGTTCTAACCGGGCGAGTCGATACCAGAACAATTTCACGTCAGCGAACATCAATTATGATTCCGAAATGAATGCTTTCAATCTCTAACCAAGAAAAAAAAATCAAGTTTCAACCCAGTGTTCAGCAGAAACACAACTGTCTTTAGTAAAAGATATAGATTTGACACATAACACCAACACCACGTCAGCTGATTTAGAACCACAGACACATGCTCAGTATAAGACCAGATACTTTTGCATTTGATTGAAGACAGACACTCACCAGGCAGAGTTGGCTTATCTCCTGGTGTAATGCTAGTTGTTGTTAGCTGGTTTTAGCATGTTAGCCGGTGTTAGCCGATGTCCGTAAATGTAATCCATTTGGTCAAACCACCTCCAGACTTTTCGGGTCTGCCTCTACTTCTGCTGCTGCGATCTTTCATTTCACGGTTGTCACTTTTAAGCTTTTTAACTTTTCTCTGCATTGTCATGTTTGTGGGAATCATTCTGCTCCGTCCTTAGTGCTAGCTCCACAAACACCTTCTGGTTTCTGGTGGAACCAGCGAGATCAGGCTGGTGTCCTCTCCTCAAACTGAGGAAGGTGTTGCCCTCATCCAGCGACCAAGGAATTGTTTTCCGTACGGACGTCATGGTTCGAGGCAACGTGTTGTTTGTTATGATATTTGCTACAGCTGAGGTAGCAGCTGCAGAGTGATTGACAGCGCATCTGACCAACCAGAATTGACGTTCGCCGACGTCAGATTGTTTTGGTGGCCTGGCTAGTGGAGTGAAGTCGGCCTTTACTATTGGTCAGAACTACATATGGAATGAAAGGCAGCGCCACCACCGAGGCGTTTTTGACGCTTGTCGAGTGAAAGCCCGAGAGCCGCACGGAACCAGCCAAAGAGCCGCATGCGGCTCACGAGCCGCGGGTTGGCCACCCCTGTTATAATGTGTTGACAGACGTAATTTACTCAGTACTAACTTGTGTATGCTGATATCTGGTAACTTGAGAGTTTCATTATTTAGCGTTAGATTACTTTATTATGAGGAGGATCGGTGTCGCGTCCGAGGCTCTCGAGGGCAACGTAAATGTATTAAATAGATAATAATAGTTCTATGGTGGGCTAAAACAATGTTCACAAACAGCATTGCTTCTGTAAAAAGATCTGTGTCATAAAATAAACTGCTCTTTACGCCTGGAAAAATCAGTTGCCCACCATTCACCAAAACATACGGTCAAAAACGCGGAAATAAACAATAACAGCAATCCAGAGTGTCCGTGTGGCATTAGCATTAATTAAATTAATTGTTAATATAATTAAAATAATTAAATGGAGCTCCAACTGGTATTAAATCTAAAGTTTTTGAGAAATGTTTGCATTGCTTGTTAATTTTTGCTGCATAATTTGATCAAATATGTAAAACATGTCCGTAGCACGTTAAACTGTGGTGCCATTGTATTAATATACAATTATTTGCTCAAAAGTTGCCCTTTTTTTCCAATTTGCGTTTGAATATCTACATTTATTCTCATTCTTCTGTTTAATGGAATGCACAAACACAGCAGCGTGCCATCAAAGATGGCGTCTCCGAGGAGGTCATGTGACATTCATTGGTCTGTGGGAACTATGTATTGTATTGTAATTGTATTTTATTTTATTTTAATACATTCAACATCAGTCCCTCACCAAACTCATACATACCTGGTGATCTGGCTTCATCTGTCCTTCTCTGAACTCTCAGAGCTGAGCGTTCTGTAAAAATAGAGCTGCTAAATCTTTTCTTCATTTTACCATGTTCTAAATCTTTAAATGCATTTGGACCTGTTTTCTATTGTCTGTGAAAGACATTCACTTTTGTTTGTGCTTCTTTTAGGGCTAACATTGATGAAGTGGAGACAGATGTTGTGGAGATTGAAGCCAAGCTTGACAAGGTAATTTAAAAATGCATTTGCAAAACACATGTTGTGACATATATTGGTGTATTGAATGATTCTCTTGTTACAAAATGTTGCAAAAAAAAGACTTAATTCACACAGTATTAATCATACTAAAAGGAATTTTAACAGAGTTTAATTTGAACCAATTCCATTATTGGTTTACATTTATAATAAATCTCAACTTTGATTTAAAATGCATTACCCAACAAACTCCGAAATGGTAAATAAAGCAGTGCAGACACGGTTCAGTGAAAATGCAAATTCCATTGATGTTCCCTGGATGTGGTCAGCTGTTTTTGCATGTCCATTTGAGCCGACTCACCTTTCACTCTAGACCCTTTTTATATAGTAGATTTACAATAGCCACATTATGAGAAGGGACATGAGACAACCTCTTTGTCTCACGTAAGATTTCTACAAGTAATTACAATTATAGTTTCATAGGCAAAGTGGATTTAAGTTATTGTTTGTAATTCATAAAGAGATGTTGCTCTTACATTTGAAACATTAAATGTTCTTAAATAAGAGGATAAGAAAGCCATCAATCAAGTTCTATCTGGATTATAATTTCATTTTTCATATGTGTGGCATTAGACTGCTAAATCCAGATAGAAAATCTATAAACTATAAGCACAGAGCCAATGTTAAGACTAAACCCACACAATGCACCGTTATTAAGTCTCACCAATCAGTATGAAAGGATGTCAAGGCGTTTGCTCTGTGTAAGGTCAAGTATTGGTCAAAATCCAAATCCCTCTGGACTTGGCCACGGTGGGACGGAAAAAACTGAGAAGATCCAGTTTTAGATGAGAGCCATCTGGTGCCACATCAGCCTGGGACATGTCATAATGTCATGATGTATTTACTTTATGAATTCTGCTGAAACATTGTAGAATTATGACGCCAATTTTCACTAGAGTCTAAATAATAACACAAGAAACATCTTTAGAACTGTCTTGGCTTAACATGGTCTCACATTCCCTTTGTCCTGGGCTCCCATGCAAGGACGCTCTACGATGTCACTTGTACCACCCACTACGAACTGAGTGACTCTGTGATGACCCCTTACTAAAAACAGAAAAATATTTCAAGATTAATGTGTAAAGCAGAAATCCCTTTCACAAGTCTAGTTATTCCTGAGGTTGTATTGCTAGAGGGCCATAAGCTGGACTTGGCCTTTTCCTCTCAGCTGTTCACTTGCTGCATTACTGAGCCTTGGTAATCCATGTTAGCTTTTAGCCATTAGTCGATTGGCCGAGGGCAGGGGGGCTACAGAGGAATAAAGCAGCCTCTGGAACAGTTCAGATGGAGTCTAACGTGACGTGGCAACAGCTGCAGAGGACACCCTTTAAAACATAAAGGGAAATACTGTACGTTTAAAAATGAATAAAATAATAATGATTTGCAATTAACTAAAAAAAACATCAATACATCTAATACAATGTAATCCATACGCAGTTGTTCAGAAGTGGGCAGACATTTTTAGTGATTAGAATATTATGAAAACTGCTGACACATGCCTTTGTTTGCTCACACCTGTTTACCTTTATTTTGAGTCTGAGATCGCTTTAGTGGTTTGTGTGCAGCCCTCAATCCTGCTACAACCCATCAGCGTTTTTGGTCCTCTGCTGCTGTATTTTGTGTATTTGTATGTACCCGTTTGACAGCACTGTAGCAGCTATAGAAGACTACAACTTAGGTCAAACATCCAGCTTATTTGTTATCCGTGAGCTCATGGTGATAATCGCAGCTTGTGACCCCCACACACTGCAGGAGTCAGACACACAGAGGATATGAATTTTGTCACAAAATGTTGGTGTGACAACATTTTTGTCAAAATCCCTAAATCGGTTATGCCCAGACTACAAGTTTGCAAAAGATGATTTCATGTTTTCTAATAAGATGAAGACTGGATTGTGTGGTCTATTTTGTAGGCATTTTACTTTTACAAGAAGAAAAAGTTACGCCAGCTTTATTTTGAGATCAATCATTTTTGCAAATCCTCTAATCCACAGAATCACTATTTATGAATATAACTTTTTCTGATTCTTTTGTTTTGCGTAGCTGACTTTCTCTGGTTTTATGGGGCATTGATGAGGAGCCCAGATGTGGTTCTAATGCCTCTGTCACATGTCAGTCTTCACACTGACTTACTGTGTCAGCAGGAGGCAGGATTAGATCCTCCACTCAGACCAGCTCCACTCTCAGACCGAATAGTCTGTGAGTTACATAATGCACATCATCTGCCAGGAGAGTGAGCTACAAAGGTCTCTGTACAAGCTAAAATGAAAGTATATGACCTAAAAATGCAGCCATGTGAGAAGTGTTATATATGGTATTAATCAATACTGTTTGTGCGTAGGGGTGTGACGATATATTGCGACACTTTCTCCCGCGATATATCGAGTCCACAGGACTGAGCTGCCTTAATCTTGCAGTGGGGGCTTCAGGCAAAGTGGGGTGAAGTGTCTTGCCCAAGGACACAACAACAGCAGATTGTCAGCGTGTTATTGTGATAAACTAAATATTTTGGAAGACAACAAAAATGTAGTTTTCGAAAACATTTCAGTCGCCCTGATATCAAACACTCTCTGGACTTTCAAAGCAAAAATGTAAATAGAAAAATGTGCCAATAGCCACAGAACAATCCAACACACACACGAGCAGTCTCCAAATACTGAAGAGAACGGGGGGAAAGGTTTTGGGGTTGAACAAAAAGTGGAATTCTTAAACTGTGTTTAATTTAAGAAAAATTATGAGACGTGGGTACTGTTTTAACATTACACATGTCAGCTTCCTGCTATAGGCAACATGCATTCAATATTAAGGCAATATACCATAGTTAAAAGACCTAAAGATAAACATAGAATAGTCGTATATGTTGTACATTGTGGATATTTGTGGATTCTTTATAGACTCTTCTATTGTTTCTGCAGCTGGTCAAACTGTGCAGTGGGATGATCGAGGCAGGAAAAGCCTACGTCAGCGCCAACAAACTGTTCGTCTCCGGCATCAGAGACCTGTCGCAACAGTGCCACAAGGAGCCCATGATCTCGGTGAGAAGTTTTTCATTTTGAATACACTACATTCCCTCATACAGCAACGTTCAAGTCTGCAGTTAGAAGTTTTCAAATCTGAATAGCGGGAAGTTTTCTGTTTGCATATTTCCTCCCACACATGTCTGGGTGGCTTTTGTCTGCCTTCCCCACGGCAGCTGTGGCTACAATAGTGTAATCATCATCATGTATGGAGTAAATGAATAATGTACTAGGCCTGTTGCATTTTAAACAACTCTAGCTAGAATCTTCAGTGCATGAAATTTACCTTACACTGCAGCACAAATGTGATCAGTGCTGGATTAGTCAGTGGATCAGCCAGGCCTGGAAAGTCGGTCTGGCGACTGCAGCGTCTGGAATAGTTTCATTACTTTCTATAAAAAGCTCATTTTGGCTTCATTCTGTGACTAAGTCAGAGCATTTTAGCTGCGCATGTGTTTCCATTGTTTAAAATGAGAAGCCGTTTTCCAATTCCCCCAATTATTCTCCCATTTCCCTCACAGACTCGCAACAATATCGCCTTTGAGAATTCACTAGTAAATCTGTGCATGCATTATTGTCTTAAGTTGAAAGAAAACAAACTCAGGGCAATTATCTGGTGCAGTAAGTCTCCGAGCTCCAACTATTGTGGTTTGTTTTTGCAGGAGTGTCTGGAAAAGTGCGGGGAGAGCCTCCAAGAAATCATCAACTACCACATGGTAAGAAGTGTCCTCATTTGCTCCACATAAGCTGTAATGGTATCATCTCCTCATGAATCACTGACGTTTACAACCTCAGAAATCTCAATCGTTTCTTGTAATAAACTTCCCTTTTGTCCAAGTGCAGGTCAGATGCCGCTGTATAGCATGGGTCATGTTTGGATTGATTTTGCACTTTGGCTTTTACGGCCCGGTAATTTGGTTGCATACAGGTTTAGCTGCTCTTTCTAAACAGGCACTTGTGTTACTAAGACCTGTGGAGTTCTTAATATCAATACATACAGTGATATTTAATGTGCTGATACAAAAACCAATATTGGTGTCTGCTGTAACAATCAATAAATGACAACATTTCAATATATTTTTCATAATTATTTATTGTGCATTTTTGTGGCAGGCAGACAGTTATGTAATTTTTTTTATCAAAGGATTTTTTCAAAACATCTGGAATTTTAAAGCAAAGAGAAAACTGGTAAATATTATGTGATTATCCGCTATTTACCAGTTTCCTGATCTTCCCAAGCAATTCAAGAGCTGGAAAAATTATCAACCCACAGCCTCGGCTCCCATGTCCAAAATGTCCTTTATATATTAACTGCTGGCAGTTTGGATTTTAACATTCACATGGTACAGCCACTCCTAACATGTGTAATAGAAATGTCAGTCCAGCCATTGCTTTGCATGTTCTTGGGTAAAATCCACAATGAGAATGCCGTCTGCATCATTTAGATTCCTATATTTTGAAACACATACTGTAGCAAAGTGTGCAGGTGAAAAAAGCTGTCTGACTTAAAGAAATAGCTCAGGGTAAATATTTAGAAAATCTATAGGGTTGCAGTTGCACAGTATAATGCAATTGTTAAATATCAAATTCTGTATTTATTGAGAAAATCCTGTGCAAATAACAGTTTAATCTTGTATAGAACATCCTTGTCTTACTTGTCGTGGACGTGGAGTAGATACGTTTGAACAGAATCTTCACAGTAGAAAATCCCAATACCCCAAAGTATATAATGTTTTTTTTGAAATATATATACAGTATTGACTGTATGACGTGAGTTGTTTAAGCCAGAGGTAATTTTCCTTGTTTCTCATCCTGGCTTGTGCTGTGGTCGTGCACTCTGCTTTAGTGCCTTATGGGGCCCCTTCGTGTCTATTGGCCCCGTGACCTTCTGCCCCTCCCTCACCCCCGCTGCCCTTTGAAGTCCATTAGTGGAGTCCAGTGTGTGCCTGCTGTAAATCCACTCTGAGTGTCTGTGTGTGTGGCATTACATTCCTCTCTGCCGCTAAAACAAAACAAGAAAAACCACATTGCCGTCTCCAGTAAAGCTTTAATGGAGCAGGTTGTTTAGCATGGATTAGCGTTAGCGCCCGACGGTCACCCTGGGTAACCTTGACATGTCAGAGGTGATTGGCTGCTGGGTACCGTGGGTCACTTCTGGGCAGTGTGTGCGCGACGGTCGATAATTATGACCTCCTGCTGCTGTCGATGAAATGCATTAGAGATCAATGAATGTGCTGTTTACTGTTCCCTGAAAAATACCGTCATATTTTGTTGTTTAGTCGATTATTCGGTCGGAGGAGGAGTCATATTTAAGCAGAGTTTGTATTTGTTCACTCATTTATTTATTTTGATTAGTTGATTTTATATGGGTCAGCAGCTGAACGTTGTGAGTTAATTCATGATTTGGTACTAAATTGACTTTTTACATAATATGCTTTTCTGCATAGGTTTTTTGTGTGCATTTTTTTGCATTTTGTGTGAGTTTCTGAATCTTTTGACGCCCTATAGTTTTTGTTGAATCATTGATCAAAAACATGTCTTAGTCAATCAAGCACAAAGATCATTTCAGTGCAAAACATACTGTAAAATAATCGCAAACATTAGATTTCTTTCACTCAAATAAGGAGGCTACAGTATGTGCATGGGACTCTCAGGCCAATTTTAGTGGCCCCTGAAAGGATATTCAATTAATATAAACTTGCATTATTCACAGTAATGGGATACATTGCATGTTATACCTAATTTTGAGTAAGTGCAATGTATTATTATTATTATGATTATGATTATTATATTATTTATGTTTTGTAAATAATTAGAGGTTAAATACAAAAAACACCTTATTAATTTTTATTCTAGAGCAGGATAACCAACAGAATTTCTAATAATAACACAAATCCTGAATTAAACCAGACCTCGGCTAAAACCATAAACAAACCTTTTTTGAAATAAGCTAAAGTAAAAATAAATGTGAAAGCAAAAATCCAGTAAATCCTCTAAAAACAGTTGATATTACAGAATCTAATGTGGTAAAATGCATTTACAATTCTGTTTTCCTGACAGCTGCCCTGTGGTGTATAATAGAATGGTATATGTTGATGTCTCTATTCTACTGCCCCCTGTGTTTGTGTTTGTTACTGCAGCTCTCTCAAACGGGACCATGATGAGCAAAGTGTCCTGGTCCACTGCTCCATCCCTACTCTGGAACATGTCAGCCTCATAGTTTCAAATCTCCAGTCTGATTAATATTGAGCAGATGGATAAAAGTGGAAGCAGTTTATTATTTTTCCTAAAGGTCCCATTCATTATTCAGGCATTTTAATGTTTAATGTTTCATGCTTTTTTGTATTGCTCTATCATCTAATACGGAATACTTTTAAGAATGCATAGATTACAAATAACTAATAATAACTACTCATCTTGAAAACAATTATAACTAAATGGGTAATTATTTACCTGTTGTGTGACAATATCTAAAAAAAAAATTAAGTTAAGATAAGAGAACCTTTATTCGTCCCACGATGGGGAAATGTTGGGGTTGTAGTGCACATACAGTACAAGACAGTAGTATAGACCAGTGTTTCCCAACCTTTTTGTAGCCGTGGCACACCTTTTTGGTCACATGGCACACCACCAGCTGAAACTGATACAAACATGAAACTTTGTAGCTTTTAGTATGAAAGCAAAGTCATTCTAATCAAAGTAGATATATATATATAGAAAATAAAATGAGCTCAAAAAGTCTTACTAATCTTCTCACATGATTTTCTTTTTACATTGTTTTAACCAATTATGTGATACCGGACACACCAAATAACATATCAAGGCACACTAATGTAACACGGCACACTGGTTGAAAAACACTGGTATAGACTATACAAGGAGCACACAAAATACACAGAGATAAGTAGCTGTAAATGCTTCATAATAAGAGTAATAAGTATATAAAAAGATCATGATTGTAGAAGATTGGATAGACTTAAATGCAATTTAACACAGATGTAAGAAGCTAATGAAAAAACATTGCACAAGTGTTTCCTTCTTGCCGAAAAAGCTTTATATTGACATTGAAAACAGTTGCAAACCAAATTTCACTTAAGTACGTGAAATAAACGTATCATCTTAGGATCAGCAGTCGAAAGAAGTAAATATAAGAGTGATTTAGCCTTAGATGGGGCACAGTTATATCCATAAAACAATACAATATACTTACATCACAACGCAATTTAACAGAAAACATTTACAATAGCTTCTAAATCCTTTGGGAGCTGCTTGGACAGCGGTTGGTGAGCTACCGGTAGATTGAGATTCTTGACATCCCTGTCAGACGGTAATGCTACTAAGATGTTGCCAAGGCTCCTGCGATAAACAACTGAATAATAACATTACCTGCTGTTTAGATTGTGACGTGTTGTGATTGGAGGTTAGCGGGACAGAGACAGTCAGCCTGCACTGTCCTGTCCGATGACTTCAGCACAGGGAAAGGAATGCAGCCATACAAAGGCACCTTGTTAAACGCAGGGAAGTGGCTCAGTCATAATATCTGACAGTGTAATCGTGCACATCTTGATATCAGGCCAGAGGAATGAAGGACAGGACACAGGACAAAAGCACTACTGTATCCACAAACAGGGATAATCTCTCTGCCTCATTTGGGATTCTGAAGATAATGACAGATTGTAATAAATGGACCCAAACACTTTAGATGAACTGCTCACCTGAGACAGTTCAAAACAGGCCTTTGATACGTTTTTTTTGTTAATCAAAAAAAAAAACTGTGATTATATGCAGTGCTTTGCGGAAGTGACAATACAGATTGAAGTTTTGCATATTTTGTCATGTCACAATCATGAAGAAAGATTATATCTCAGATGGGTTTACTGAACAACCTCAACACAGTTTAATTTCTTACAACTTTAACATTTTTTAACATTTTTTTAAACATTTTCTTAAACATTTTCTTAAATTTAAAAAGTATATATAGAATATACAGCATACATTTCTATGAATTTATTGATTTTGAAAATCTCAGAATGACAGATGAACACTCACATCATCTATTGGTAGAATGTAAGTCTTGCAGCACAAAAAACTATGATCAAAGTCAAAATTATATAAAAAGTAAAAGAACATTAACAAAATAGTAAATACATTTAATATGTTACAGTGGACTAAAATGCTACAAATGTATTCTTGCTAAATCCAGTATTGTTTTAGTTTTGATTGGTGTCTGTTTTTTTCTGCACCTTCAAATAAGCCGCATCATTATTAAGCATTATTAACTTTCTGCTCATTTAAAACTCAAAACGGCCAAACAAACCATCCTCCATTCCAGACCGTGGCATCATTCTATCCCATCTCCCTTTGAAGATCACTGATGTAATTCCATTCTGGGACCATGAGGCCTGTGCGGACTGAGCGAGTGGAGCCTCCTGCTGTGTTTTGTTTTGTTTTCACACTTTCCTTATTTAACCAGCAGACAGTACGCTGGTGCTGGCACCGCGAGGGAGCAAACCAGTCTGCCACCCGCTGTGCATGCGATATTTCAGTCCAACATTCAAATGTATGCATTAGAATGGCTACAAGGAGCTGTGTGATCCACTTACCTCATTCAACCTCAAATCTGTTATAGCGATTCCAGCGGTATGTAACTTTCTGCACCAGCAGCCTAGGATATCTTGGAAGTAAAAGGTTAAAACCATAGTTAGAACATTCTATG